TGTAATAACCCCTGGAAACGAGGTGATCGCAACTTATTAGTTTCTAAAATGAAAATATATATTATGTATTATTAATTTTACAACGTAATTTATTATAACACCGTTTAAAAATTCCCGGTGCGGTTCTTGATGGTTCTTTCCAGAAAAAAGTTTTTGCAAATTTAAAAATTTATTTGCCAATCATCATCAGCAACATTACAGCCCTTCACAAGTCCACTGCTGAACATAGGCCTCCCCCAAGTAATGCCACAAAGCACGGTCTCGAGCCACCTGCATCCATCGACTTCCTGCGTGTCTTACCAGGTCGTCACTCCATCTAGTGGGGGGTCGCCCTACACTACGCCTACCGGTACGAGGCTCCCACTTGAGAACCTTTCTTCCCCATCGGTTATCGGTTCTTCGATCTATATGGCCGGCCAATTGCCACTTCAGCTTACTAATCCGTTGGGCTATGTCGGTCACTCTGGTTTTACTGCGGATATCCTCATTTCTGAGTCTATCACGCGGAGAAACTCCGAGCATAGCCCTCTCTATAGCTCGCTGAGCGACCTTGAGCGTCCTCATCCACCACCACGTCCCAGATCCGTAAGTCACCACTGGCAACACGCACTGGTTGTTGCAACTGCACTTTAGTTTTCAGAGATTGAGGTATACCTGACGAGAAGATAATTATGTCGTAATTTCCCGAACGCTGCCCAGCCGAGTTGAATCCGTCGATTGACCTCTCGGTCGAAGTTGCACTTACCTAGTCGGACTATTTGTCTCAGGTAAACGTACTCGTCCACAACTTCGAGCATAGTGCTCCCAACAACTACCGGCATTGGTGTGACATGGACATTAAGCATGATCTTTGTTTTGTCCATGTTAATCTTAAGACCTATCCGTTGGGAGACACCTTTGAGGTCGTTGAGCATAGTGCTAAGGTCCTCCAGCGATTCTGCCATAAGGAATATATCGTCGGCAAATCGAAGGTGAGTAATGTACTCGCCATTGATGTTAATACCGTATCCTTTCCAGTCCAGTAGCTTGAAAACGTCTTCCAACGCAGCGGTGAAGAGTTTCGGGGATATCAACGAAACACAGAACCAAGGTTTGCACGAAAAAAGTTGATATAATACCATTAAACGACGTAAGGATAGAAACAGTAGAGGGTGGCAGGAAGGAACGACTTAGGTGGAATGCCTCGTTTCCAGTAAAAATGGGTCTCCGGTTCTCTACACTCACCATACGAAACACAGCAGCATTAAGCTACTATTTGACGCTGGTATTCTGTGAGAGCGTGGTCCCTCCCCGGTCGAGCCGACCCATTCGTGCTACAACTATACTACTAATATAACTGCAGTATGGCTCTACCACGTAAATTTTAAAATTAAAAACAATTTTGCAAGTGGTAGGAAAGTAAGTATATCAATTGAGATTTTGCGTAACTGAAGAAGTGAAATTCGTCCATCCAATACAGCCTATAAAACTGCCTGCTATCACTTCTGTACCGAGTTCTTTTCTGTCCTATGCACTAATTTTATAACACTTAAAGCAGCTGTGTGGTATAATACTGTAACTCATTGAGCATTTATGTGATATATGTTCTTATTCGTTAACTCACACTATGATTTTCTCCTGTATCATGGAAGTAGTTAACAAGTTGAAATTATTGTATAATTGCACAAAGATAAACATCAGACCCGAAACAATTATTTCTAGGCCAAAAGTACGTGTGACGAGTGGAATTCCATGGATTTATTACTAAATTATTTCAAAAGGTTTTTGGATTTAATATTGTTTTGAACGAAACGTAAAAGCGCATCAACGGTGGTATTCCGCTCTTGGTTGAATATTCACCACAAAAACAAAATACAAACGTTAGTAATCCTGCGGCCACAAAACATAAATACACGTATTTACGATCACTAAACTAGTACCTGCGTTGAATTATTAAACGACAGCCGCTTCTGACATTGTTGTGTACAAACGAAAAGTGAAAGGCAAATCTCTTGTAGTCTAAAAGCGACATAGGTTAGCCTATATATATCCTATTACACTCAAGTGGTGTAAAGGGCATTCAATTTCGATTCATATAAATTTACTATAACTAGTTCTATAATAATAACTTAACTCGTATATTTGTGGTGGATGCTAAGAGGATATATGGGCGACGTTTAGTTGAGGAACTATAACTATTAAAACTGGCCAGATGTACCCCAGTTAGCTAGTTTTCTAGCAAACATAATTTAAATATTATAACGCATAAAAGAAAAACGTACCTACATACATAATTAAATAACACATACATGATCTTATCGCATATATTATTTTTATTTTTTATATTATTTTCGAGTACTTTACGTCACCCATGGTCACGATGGGACTGAGATGTTCAACGTCCAGATGTCATAGTTAACCGCCGTTATCACTGATTAAAATTATTAATTTTTGTTCCGTTCTACACAAAAAAAGTTAATATACGCCATAAAATCCGTAAAAACTAGCATTATTTAAATGTATAGTGTTACGCGTAAATATAAGAAATCATTACCAATACCTAGCATAAGGCATTCTAGGGCTTTTAAACCATTAAAACATTCCTTATAGCCTTTCACAAGTTCAATGCTGAACATAGGCCTCGCCAAGGCACGGTGCTGAGCTACCTACATCTGTCGACTGCCTGCAAGTCATACCATGTTGTCACTCCATCTAGTCGGAAGACGCTCTACACTTTGTCAACCGGTACGAGGTTCTCTACTCGAGAATCTTTCTTCTCCATCAGTTGTCGGCTCTTTAAGCTGTATGACCGGACCATAGCCACTTGAGCTCACAGTTGGGCTATGTGGGTTATTCTGATATCTGAAAATTTCCCTATTTTTAGGTCTATCACGCAGAGAAATCCCGAGCATAGCATAGCAAAAACTAATTCCACGGATGTTTTCGCGTTTAATTTTTACTTCTTTTAATTTCTAATATTTCGGGGGATTAACATCACGTAAATAGTCTTAAAAGTAAATTTGACGTCATACTGCAAATTAAAATTGTCATAACTTAATGTTTATTCAATTAACAAGCCAATTATGATGAAAATGATGTTCTCGTTTCCCTTCCATAAGCCTAACATTGCGTGTACTGTCACATTTATTTTACCAATAATCTTTGAAACTTCGTCACGCCCGACTTACGCACGACACGTAGCCAATTTGCATGGATATAACATTCTTCGTGAATGAGATTTGCATTTAATTTAAATAAACCGTAGGTGAATTTAGCGTATACAGTTGGGTGAAAATTTGCTTCATTACAAATAGGAAAGTAAATTACTTTCGCCAATGCGAAACGCTTACGAATAAATGTTTGAAAATACTGATGCTCTTTTATTCACATTTTTTCGATAAAATTTTTTATATCGGTTTCATTTGATACCTTACGTTTAGGAAATGTAAACTTCAACACAGAGTTGAGGCGTGGGTGATGTGCGGTCAAATACACATAAGAATGGAATAGGCTTCGATGCTATCTTGTTTGTAGTGGATTTAAGAAAACGTATAAGATGCGCGCCACTTACACGAAGTTACCACTCACTGAAAGAAGGACATTTAGGCTAAATATTAACCATTTTAATTGGCTGCCTTGAAATTATTTTATGGTTGTTATTGTATCATTTAAGCGAACAAGGTTATTACTATAACTTTTTTCAATAAAATTTCTTCGTCTGTGTGGCAATAAGATTACGGTATGATGGGGCTGATATATTTGTTTGAATTATAAAGTCCTAAAATAAATAAGGAAGAAAGAAATGAACAAGTTGAACCATTGATGTGCTGGTGGCTAATTCTGATTTGCCATGTGTTTGGGGGTGAATAAAAATAAAGTAACCTGCATGACGTAAAAAAGATCACCAACGTACATTTCAGCGGCTTGGTAAATAATTCCTTGCCCTAAATTTTTTTTTGGAACATAATCACCAGATATAGGGGGATGGAGAATGAAATATGTTACTTATCTTAGAACACATTAACCTGGAAGTACGCTACAATTGTAAGACGTCGTAATTTCATTTAGAGAACAAGAGCACTGATGCGATGCGGTAGTAGCAAAGTTTTTGGCATCAGGCCACACAAACAACATACCAATCAATACGTTTGCCTTTATTCATACTTGTACTCACCGAATTCCAATTATTGTGAAAATACCCCCGAATCAAATCTTGATTAAAAGGTGTACTTATTCCATTCTTGAATTGATATATATATATATATATATATATATATATATATATATATATATACATATATATATATATATATATATATATATATATATATATATATATATATATATATATATATATATATATATATCGATGGCCCCAACGAATAAACGTGCAATCGAAAAACGACAACTTTTCAGGAAGATATAAAAACGTTTGGAATCACATAACTTTAATTACATAATAAATAGACAAATATAATTTGTGATCAAATTAGAGGTAAAAAAAGATATCGTTCAGCTCATATATTTATTATAAATGAAATATTATCGGTTTACTACATTATTTAAGAAAAACCGTATTAAATTATTATTCTAGTGAATAATATGTGACTTGTTAACATTATTGTATCACTGCACGTTTATTCGTGTCATAAATGAAGCTTAAACAAGTGTAGTGAAATGTTGCATGGTTATTCCACGTATATTTTTTTCCCTGAGCGTTGCTCTGGTCATCTACACACTTATTCTTGTATATTTTGTTGCTTTTACATATTTGTAAAGATAAAGGCCCGTACATTTGTGTTAACAATATCGACTCAATATTTATGTAATACGACTTTATTAGTGCATGGTATATAATGTAAATTAGCTATTTTTTTTGTTGAAGGTTCAATAAAAATATTGTTAATAAGAATAATTACTATTTATTTATCCAATTTAGAACAAAGTAAGTACTTATCAAGTATATTATTACTAAAACAAAAACAAGAAAAATCTAACAGAAAACAACTAATAAGTGGTTACTAATAATTCTCCTCGTCACTATCGTTGGTAACTGAGGTGGAATTTAATGGCACTAGATTTCTGTAAAAATACTGGTAATGGTTTGGTATGGCTCCCAAGTCACACAGACTTATTAAATCTCTATATAAAGGAAGAGGTACGCGTAGCATTCCAGTGTATGCCAGTTTTAGGTTTTCAGCGTGTTCTATAGGTTCCCCTCGTCGCCTTCGTGAGTTAGTCCTCGTAATAGCTTGCATCTCTTGTAATTCGCCTTCAAAACTGTATCTAAAGTAAACTGTATCAGGTTGATTATAAGGAAAAACTACTTCTTTAATTTTGCTCCAGTAAATTTTATTACCATCTGTATCTTTTAACCAATTCTTCCCTTTAATTAATTCTTTAAAATCTATGAAATCAGCTTGCGTCATTTGATTTACTTGATACTTATGCCCGGTAACTTTGGCATTCTCTATCAAGGAATACATTTGATCAGGTGTGTAGATAGTATGCTTTTTCTTAGAACGCTCAATAGCAGCATGCATAGAATCACCCTCCGATTGGCTAATACCTTTCTCCAAAAACCTATGTGTTATTTTTATGTTGTATTTCTTCGCCGCTAAAGAAAACATGGCGAATACGAAACGATTACGATTTTGCCCTGCGCATGAATCAGAATAAAAGGATATGTTTTTTATTCCTAATTCAACGTGTGCCTGGATAAATGACCAAAGACAAATAGCTATTTCTATCGCACCCCTTTTCGCAATTTGACAATGCCAGACGTAGCAGTAACCTTTCTTCTCTAAGATATTATAAATCGTGAAATTGTATACAGATAACTTTCGTTTATAATGAAATATGCCTACTTCACTTTGGGGGATATTTAACACTTTTTCCAGATCAAAACATGCTACAACACTGTCACCTGAACAAAATTTTTCCTTTTCTTGTTCCTTTAATTGCCTTACTATTTGTTTTTCTTTCAAGTGCTTTTCATAGTAAGCTTTTAACTGTTCTTTTTAACATCATCAGAAGTTTGGTAAATTGAACATATTTCACATAAATCTTTTTTATGTTTGTGAAAGGATAGGTTAAACTTCGTATTAAATATTATTTCATACTGCCGTTTAGTTGCTCTGCATGTTTGATTGTACTGGTGGTTTGTATCTATCCATTCTAAATACAGTCGGTGCATTTTAGAGACATTCAATGTTTCACACAGATATTGCTTTTGACTATCTTTACGAGTATAGTGTGATTCAACTCTTTTAAATAGATTTATATGGTTAATTATACTTTTCTCAGTCTCCTCTGACATTCTTCTTGGCCTATTCTTATGAGTTCCTCCGTAATCTTTTAAATAATTGTCATCTCCCAATTTATCAATAGCTGTGTATACTACTTGCTGTGTAATAGACAAGGTACTTAAAAACATAGTTTTAAAAACTTTAATCATGGAATTAGTATCATCGAATAGTTGATATGTTAATGTTTGAGTAGGATTATTTTTACGTTCAACTGTAATTTTTTTGACGTTTTCTTTTTTTACATGGCGGTTAGTAAAATTCCACTGTCTTTCGTGGTCCCCGATAGCCCAAAAATTTTGAAAAAATTTACTCCTCATATTTTGCTTTATCTTTTCGTAACATTTCAGATTGTAGATGCATGGTGGACCTATAGATTTTTCTACGTTTTGCTTTTCAGTTCTAACACTTTCATAACTTTTACCAGAATTTTTAAGAGTTTTATTTTTGCGATCTTTCCATAAATTAGGATCTATTTTTCTCTTTTTCGTAAGCGGTTCTATAGGAGTGACGGGTCTTTCCTCCGATTCTGTAGTTACAATATCCTGTGATATATTTTGTGTTTCAATACTATGTAAAAAACCCTCTAAGTCGGAAATATTTCTTAAATCATAATCAATATTAATGTATAAAACAGTCGGCGTGGCTATAAAATCTATTTTTTGTTGGGTTGATGGAGTCATTACAATAGAATTATCAGTAGTCTGTAAATCATCATTATTATTTACAGATTGCAATGGAGTAGGGTATTCCATTTCAGGTAGTAATGATTCAATAACATTATGAAAAATATCTAAAATGTCATTTGTTGGTACATTTGGTGGTGAGGTATTATTATCATGTGGAGATACATTTACTACTATTAATGGAGCCGGTGTAATAAAATCATCAGGTTCTGAGTTAACTTCTTTGAGGTCTGATATGCCATCAATGGGGAAAGAACTTCGCGAAAGATATGTGAAATTTTCGGAAACAAATTACTCAAATGACTACATTACTATGTTTTCAATAACTATTTATTTACATTTACACTCAGCCTCTAACCACCACGCAGCCCCTGGTAAGTTTTGAAATATATATATATATATATATATATATATATATATATATATATATATATATATATTGTATCTAACCAAAAAAACCAAAGAAAAAGTTTCATCTTTCTCACCTTAAATTTCATTTTGTTCTTCAAGTTCAATACTACTGTCATCTTCATTAATAATATTGTCTGAAAAAAAAAGTACTTAACATGGATCAAAAAATGTTTACTCGATACAATATCAGCTAAGCCTGTAAAAGCAAATAATCTTTCTAAAGAGAATAGTTACATAATACATAAGACAATAAATTAGATAAATAATAGGCAACCGCCGCGCGGTGCCTGTGTCAGGTGATTTTCGTTCTTATTACATTTAACTAAAAAGGTTATCGGAGTCCACATAACATGGTACCACCTGTTATAAAGGGAAAGAATAATAAGAATCCAATTTCCATTGATTAAAGTGTGTATCCTCTTACTTACAAAAGTAGTTAATCAATAATAATATGTAGGTACTTACCATGTATCCTATAGTTCACCAATTTTAATATCTTTCTGCAACGACTTGAAGTACCTCTGTTTCTATTCATAATTATACTTATCACTCATTAATGATTTAATAAGAATATTAACAACAGTGCATGTGCTCAGTAAACAAACGAAATTACATAATAACTCGAGCAAATTCGCATCCGGACTGACCTTCCGGGGTCTAGCGATGTCACGCGCATCTTACATACCCCGCCCCCGCTTCGCCCCTTTTGTAACGAGCGATTGCAATAGACACTATTGGGAAAGTATCCGTTTATTAAACGGTTACTACCAATAACTTCAAATTCATGATCGAATAATATTAGGGCTTAAACCTTTACAAAAGTAGAAAAAACAAGAGAAAATGTTAAAAGACAATAGCATAGCTGTAATTATTATATTCAAAGTTTTGCCGCCTGCAATGAGGCATTACTGATAAAAGTCGCTTGCGTTTTTACACGAAAAATCGTGCAAGAGTTATTACCCAAAGGAAAAGATAGACACGAGCGGCAGATTGATTTAACACGTTTATTCTGGTGAACTCAAATAAACTAATAATCGGCAATAAGCGCATGTTTTATTATTCATGTGATATGTAAATATTTTTTTCCGTACAATAAAGGAATATTGTGCTATAAAAGGCTTATTCGAAGTCTAACATACTCAAAAAAAAATATACTTCGGTGTATAATAGGCTAAGCAAACGAAAAATACGAAAAAAAAATTGGGTAAGAGCTCTTACACGTTTATTCGTTGGGGCCATCGAATATATATATATATATATATATATATATATATATATATATATATATATATATATATATATATGTATGTAAAGAGATTGTAAAATTCGAAGCTAAATCTTTACCAAGTCCTAATTTATTAAATCAACTCCGCGTTTCAGTGATTTGTCTCAGATCCCATGTGTGAATTATTGCTTTTGTTTATGGTATTACGATTGGTGTCTTTTACCACAAGCTCACAATAAAAGCATTTTAAGATTATCGCTAGAAATAGATTTTGTAGTAAAAAAAGTTTTGGTGGACTGTGAGGCATTTCATGTTAGCCCTCAGAGGTGACAAAGAGTAAAAAGTATTTCCTGTTTGAAGTTGGCTGTGGATTTACTGACGGATTGTAGTACTCGCTTATAAGTTAGCTTGTGACTTCATCTTTATATTAAAATTTATATATATAAAAAGATTCCACTTGTTCAGTCTTTTTGTTATGCTCTGTAGTTAAAATGCCATTATAGCTGACAGAAACATTATATAGCACGTTGGTACCCGAACAGATATATTGACAAGTCAACAGTTAATTAAACTTTGTGAAGATTATAATATTACAAACTTAAATAAGATTAGAAGGGATTATATTATATCGAATAATGGGAAGCTTCACATAATTTAATTACTATAATTCGGTTTTAGGTAGATTATTGAACGTTTTCAGGAAACTAAACCCCTTTAAGGTAGGTGTAGGATTAGCAGTCTCGTCACCCAAGTTTATCCCTAGCGTCATATTATGATGATCAGTCACTGATTAGCTAAAGAAACTTTGTAGGAGGAGATAACGAAATCTGCGTGTAAGATATTTGGTGTCGACGCATCTACGTGGCTCGTCCTTAAATCCAAAAAAATGTGAATTGTATGCACTTTTTTATTGATACAATATATTTATAATCTTCCTTTAAAGCCAGCGAGTTTTGTTTACGCTTTAGAGACAGGATTGAAACTACCTGACTAGTTATTATAATATATGACACATAAGTTGGAAAATCTTACAGTAATATTCAATCTAATAATTTCTTCATGGCGGCCAGTCTTAACCATTAGCATTTGGCTACTTGTCTGCGCAAATGCGCAGGACATAATTTTAGTGAACGAGTGTGTGCGCAAGCACAAGTGAATTCCCTATTCCCTTCTTCTCTCAGTCTGAACTGGCGACAATCTGAATCGACTAGTGGCACAGCGAAGGACCAACGACCTTACGAGCTTTCAGATACACGGGAGTAAAACATCGTTAACTTGCTGAACCTTGACTGCTACTGAATATTTCTTTGTGTAAAAAGCCTACAAGCAACATATTTTGGCTCGACTTGGAATTCAAACCCTAGGCAACATGATCAGCACTCTTATTAGACGATAGCCGACGACAACGGGGTTCATAAAAGTTTCTGAATAAGTGACTATGGTAAATCTATTTTTCGATTTTGCTTAACTTGGTTAATAGGTGAGTAAAAAATTTATAAAGTGTTATCGATGAACTACTCGTTTTTTGTCACATCCTTTTTACTGTATTTTTGATTTCGAATTTCATAGAGGTTTGCAAAATCTTAACCGCAAGCGAATTGTTGGTTATTATTTGTGCATTTTAATTTTTATAATGGTTAGATTGAATTTTAACACGTAAAATTGTTAAAACTTTGTGCATAATATTTACGTTTGTGAACTATTACATAATGTAACAATTGCCATAATAATTGTTATAATATAAATCTCACACTAATTCACACACTTTGGCGCCTTGTACAATAGTATCTCTATTGTTATCCACTGTCGACTGGCTTAATCTATCGTCAAAATGTCGTCAAACCTTTACAATATAACAAATCAACATACTGTCCGTAAATAATTTATTATAACGAAAATTATCCAATTACGTGATACTGACATAGGAGTAAATTATTACGAAAAAAAAACATTTCATACTACCAAATATAGCGCAAATTTCTTTTTTGGAAATTTAGGCTATATTTTATCATTATATATTTTTGGATGCTGTGACCCATGATCACGTCCATGTATCCTTGATTAAGAAAGAAAATGAAGACGCGTTGTCGTTCTTGCTTGCTTTTAATGCAAGGCTTCGCTACCGGTGAAAAGTTTATTAGGTTCTCCGCTTACATCTTACTATGAAACTCAGCAGCTGCTATACGCTGGTAGTTTATCACTCATCGGTCAAGCCGACCTGTAATACACCACGCAAAAAGTTTCTGCTACGTGGCGACTTCTCATCAGTGGAGTATCTTATTTAGAGACGGGGCGGCAAACAAGCCGCGGCGGCTACCCGATCGGCGGCGGCCACCGAGCCGCGGCGGCAACCGAGCCACAGCGGCAACTGAGCCGCGGCGGAAACTGAGCTGCGGCGATATTGAGTTAATATGAGTCTCTAAGATATTGCTACGTATATTTAATTAACTGTAGAGACTGTCCATTGCATCTATGTGCAGTGAATTTCCTAAAGGATCAGAATTCGTGACCTATCGTCGCCACTGGGGATGAGAAGGCTTGTTTTTTTTTTCACGATAAGGCAATTATAGCCATCAGCAAGAAAATGCAGTCAGTATTCTTAGAAAAATCGGTATAGTACCGCGAGGAGTACAGTCTTACTGTATGATAGTTTACGTTTTCATTTATTAATAATAGTAATTAGTACTGTATATTTTTCGGTTTTGTAAATAAAAACAAATTAATTTAGTTTTATATGTACCTGTTGTATTAAATTTAACGTTTTTGGATTATTCAAAATTCATTCAAATTGTTAAGTATAATTCATAAAATTTTGCGACGTGAATGAAACATTTCTAACTTCATATAAATTTCATGCAGCTCACGGTACTGCAAAAGTTTATTTAACCTGTTGCTTTAGTAAATTTCAAACTCATCGGAAGTAATCTGAAGCTGTCGTGACGGTAACACCCTTAACTTTCTAATGGAAAAATCTTTTTAAAATAGCTTTTCAATAATCAGTTAATAGAACCCAATAAATTATAATTGCATATAAAAAGAATTGGAAAGCAGAAATGTAAAAATTTGTATTTTTTGAGTACCAATTATCCTTAAGAAGAAATGCATTTAAGAAAGTAAAGCAATAAAAATAAAAATAGAATGGAAGATTGTTTGTTAGCGGATATTTTTTTTGTATTAGGGTGTGTATTTAGCAGGTATTGTAGATATGACAAAGATATGGAGCGACGAGTGAACACACAGAGTTAATGGGACTCCTCAAACTAGTGTCGAAAGTCTAGAAAATTCGAAAATCAATACGCATGCTGGCTTCTTCACTGCTGCGCCTTATCATTTTGTTTGATATAACTTTTTTCGCTCTTTCCAATTTTTTTCTCCGAAAACAAAATTTCGCGGATTTTTTCCGCGTACCGCCTTAATAAAGCGCGGAATCTATCCAGCCTAATTTTTTCCAAACGCTCGTTCAAAAATGTCCGGTCTTCTTACGATAAGCTCATAGTCCTAGGTTCTTAATTGATTACTCTTTTGAACGTAGTTCTGCTTACGCCAATCTGAACAGCTAAGATTTTTTGTTTACGAACAGGATTTAGTTGGATTCGCGCCTTCAATGCTTTGATGATCGCGGGTGTCCTAACTGTACGAGGTCGACCGGTCCTCTTACGATCTTCGAAGCTTGAATGTTCAGTGAATCGTTTAATAGTGCGATAAACAAATCATATGGTTATTTTCGAATTTTGTAGAATATTGAAAATCTCTTTTGGTGCGGTGAAACACGATAACCGCTTCTCTATCTTCTTTCGTCGACCACATCATATTTGAAAATGAATGGAAATTAATCTTTTTTATTTTCGGCAAGCGCAAACGTTATATATTTTAAAATTGGTGAAGTTTATCTCGCTAGTATTGAATTTTTTTAAATAATAAGGTTTCGGCAGAACTTATGACCCGACTTAGTATATTTAGCTTATACTTTAACCTATGCTAACTTAACTAACTTAACCTATGCTTTATTTGTCACCAGTCTGAGTATTTGCTTTGGAAATTTTAGCTTAACCTTTTTTTACTGATATCAAGACATTCAGACATCTTAGTCCTTCGGGGTGATGACGTGTCTACCTCCACATTGACCACCATAGCATGAACTGACTTTACTTTTTTTTTTTGTACAAAAATAATAATTATTAGTTTATTTTTCATGGCAGACATAGAAATTATATTTTTTTTATTCGATTTCTTCCTAATGAGAGATGTAATGTCTTATAACATGATAAACTAGAATATATAATTTCTTTTGAGTTGCCAAAATAATTGAACTATTCCCATTGTAAATCTGTATTTTTTCCTTTATAACATTAAAAAAACATGACATTGTTTTTTGTAATTAATGTAGCCTAACGTATGGTTTAAGTCACACCGTGACACGAAATTATTTTATTAATAATTTATTATATAAA